TACCCATTATCCTCCAAAAGTCTGCCCCCAGTATAAGAACATGAGAGAGCTCAGGTACCACTAAAAGTTCCATTAATTTGCATTGATTCTTCAGAGCTACAGGAACTAGACACGACCCCAGGGACTGACACTTTTGGCCATTTGCCACCGTAACGCCAATAACCTTCGTAGGATCCAAAATAATTCCTAAGTTTTTCAAGATTTCCCAACCCGGACCACCAATAAAAGTTCGAGACGCTCCCGAGTCCAGAAGCCCACACAACTCTTCCCCGAATATTTTAACCCGCAAATATGGACGTTCATCATGACCAAGGTTTTCTAATATAAAATCAATAATAGGCCGGAAGTAATCTTCGGTCTGCCGGTTACGACCTTCTAATGGCGACCTCTGTCGTTTCCCGACCGTCTGTCATTATATTTGTTGCAGTTGGGGCAAGTTCTGACGGTTACATTTGGCAGTTTGCATTTGTAACAATACCTTTTTCTTGGTTCAACGCATCCGATGGCCCTATGTCCCGGCTTGTTGCAGTTAAAACACAGTATCGTGCCTGGTACTGTAGGTTCCGCATCTTTTACTTCGTTAATCCTAGAGTCGACAATTGCGAGATCGGGTTCCAGAGTGTGAACCGATCTTCTTGGCGGAGGAGCGAAAGCTTCTACGGACTCTCTCGTATATTCAAGCTGGCGACATAACTTCCTCAATTGTTCGACAGTTGTGATTTCCACTAAGGCTAGCTGGGTTTGGTAAAATGGCAGGATGTTTCTTTTAATTATTTCCACCTTAGCATTCTCGGAAATTGTGCACGTCAGTCGATGGAATAAGGACTGCATCACAGATAGATAAATGCCTATGGATTCGTCTGCGCTCTGAGTTCTCTTCTTTATTTCCTCCAACAAAAGCTGATTATTATGATGTGGCAAAAATTCCTCTCTGAGCTCCTTTACCAGCTCATTCCAGTTATTTACTCCTGATTTAATAGCCCGGAACCAAACCAAAGCCTTTCCCGAAAACAAATCGATGGCCGAATGAAACAGTTCTTCTTTGCTTACCCTTCTAGCCAAACACAACTCGTCAACACGTTCCAAAAAGGCATTCAATGAAGAGCCTTTTTTATCCCCAGCAAATGTTAGATTCCATTTAGATAGATTCGCTGGTCTCAAGGTTGTTCTTAAGGCTGCGCTATTTATGGTAGTGTTAGTACTACTGGTAGAAACGTCCAAAATGTCTTCTTCTGAACTTGAGTTGCTTGAATCTTCCATTATAACACTTAATTCAGCAGGTGTATTGTTGAGGTTGTCAACTGCTCGTTCTTCTAAAAGGTCCATTAAACTTAGAGCCTTATTAAGTGATTCCGACCTATAATCCGATGTATCCTCTGTTATAGCTATTCTGTTGATCCTTCCTATCAAATGTTGAAGTTTAGAATTAAGACTTTTAAAGGTTCTACTCTCCTTCGTTTTTGAAAAAGCTTCCAAACTTGCTTCAACATCCTTAAGTTTGCTGGTTATAGCCTCTTTGTCCTGCTCGAAGGCATAGGGGTGGACAGGATACGTTAAAGCCGTCCCTTCTTTTTCAAGTTTAATAGCCCTGGCCAACGCCTTCCTCATCTCACTCACCGTACCGACCTTCAAACCACGAATGGTTATCTCATAGTTGAGTTCGTCCTGTTTTAATCTATTAATCTCGAATTTACCCGACATGTTTACCAAATTTAATAATTTTATGCAAAAACACTATGATATTAAAATATTTTACCCCTTAGAATACCTTATAGACCTTCTACCTTCAATTGCTGCTCAAAAATATCAAAAAGAAATTTTCGACGCCCGGCGTCGCGACGCTTATATATATAAAATATATGTATATATATATAAATATATATTTGTATAATAAATAGGTAAACCAGCAAAATCAAAAATATTTATCAAAATATTCAACGCCAGACGTTAGTGGCGTCGCGACGCGTCGCGGCGCGAAACGGGAAACAGATACGTATATAAGTATACCTTTCTAAAAGAATAAAAACAGATAAACCATTATTTTAAATAAATGAACTAGATATTTATTTTGTTTACAAGTTGTTTTTTTGTTGGTAACCACAAAAAAATTATTCTCATAAATAAATTGTTTACCTTAAATTTATCAAAGATTACCGAAGTGCCAAATAATAAAATAAAATCTAACAAAATTTATTTATTTCACCCCCTTTCAAAAAAAAATATGTATCCTCACCGGGGCTAGTACAAAAAACAATACACAAACATATTGCAGTAAAGATTGTGGCAAATTAAAAAAAGCAAATATTGCTAAACTCAACCAAATTAAAAAAAAAATGTTTAAAGGAAACTTAAAAAACAAAGAAAAAGGTGTAACACCCTAATAAACGTTGGGCGCCAAATTTATAACGTTCAAAAGTTACAGGACAACGCTAAAAGGCCTAAACTAGCTCAGTTTCAAAGGGTGTGAGATTGGCAGTTTATTAAGGCGTTACTTACCTTTACTTATATATTGGGCGCCAAGTAACAATAAGTGATTGTTACTAAAATTAAAAAGTAGCAAAGTTTGAAACAGTAAAAAAAAATGTTTAATTCAAGAAGCAATATGTATTAAAGTTTATATCAACATCTGTCTGACAGAAAAAATATATATATAATAACAAAACTAATTAAATAAATGAAACTCTTTTATATCTGGCCAGCTATAAATGATTTACAGGGAAAATAGGTAAGTAATATTATTATTATTATTCTATTGTAACTATTTAAAATAAACTTAACTTAATTTATTTTCAGATCTATTTGATATCAAAGATATAACAAAAAACTATATAAAAGCAAGAACCGGATAGATCTGACCTTAAGTGTCGGCACCTGAAGATCCCCGAAGTAAATTCAATACAAGATGGCGGCGGCTCTCAAGATTTTCCTGCCAGAAAACGTCCAAATATATTTCTTCAATGAATTTCCAGAATATTAAAATTTAAAGGAACTCGAGGAAACAACCCAAAAAAAAAACCCTTCAATAAAGGGTTTTTTTTCCTTTTGAGATAAATTCCAAATGAAAAGTTTCAAACTTGTTTTGCGATGGTAGGTATCAGCTTTTAGGCTTTCAAAAAGCAAAAAAACTTCAATTCAATTGGTAACCCTAGATGATGGATGGCTACGTGGTTAGTTTTGGTAATCTTGAAAAATCCAGCAAACGCTGTAGGAATCGAGATCGAAAATCAACACAACTGCAAAATCCAACACACTCTCTTCCTATACAAAAATATCGTGGCACTTAAATCCCTTCAAAAAGGTTCAATTCAAAAATTCCAACAAGTATGTGCACAACGATAAAGATTCACCAAAAGACTGACTTCCTTCTAGAAGACTTCCTTGACCTTCTTTAGACATGCGCGAATATTGTCATAAACAAATTTTAATTTACTAATTATCTAAAATATTTTAAAAAATGAAACAATAAAAAAAAAACACACAAATTTTACCACCACAGAATATCAAACAAAACGGCCTTAAGTCTTTTAATTTCCAAAGAAAAAGAACCCATACTTAACAGGAAATAAATTATAAGCCAATAGATATCCTGGGTTACAAAAATGCACCAATAAGAAACGATTCAATTAACTGCGCTAATCAAATACCCAACTATTATTCATAATATGGATAAATATTGTATTGTTATTAATTTTTAGGGAAATAAATCATTATGGACTGTAATCGTCAAAAAAAACACAGTGATTTTTATGCAAAACAAATGACAGTAAATAAACCAAATTAAACCACAACATGTAAGTATCAACCAACAATAACTTAAAATATTACTGGAAATAAGCATCAATTGAAAAGGAAACATTTAAGTATTTTCCATCACAATCAAATAGGTACATCTTTTTATTATTTTCAGGAACCTAGAGAACACTGTTGTCGATCAAAATCATCGTGCCAAGCGATCGAATTGGAGCATCCATATACAGGTAGGTAAAGTGACAAATGGCAACTACTGCCTATTATTGTAATATCTCCTGTTTACGCAAAATTTCCATTGATACAATTTTACTTTACAGGTTAAAATTCACGAACTCCAAAGGAATTTAAAGAATGTATGACGTCACAGCAAAAAACATATTTATTTATAACTTAAATAAACCTATTAAATAAACTCTATTTACAAACAAACTGGTTGCTTTATTATTAAAATTTTAAAAATCCCAAGATTATATTTATTTTTTCCTCAAAATATTTAATTACTGAAATTTAAATGTTACATATGTAGATAAATGGGTATGTTTACATGTGAAACTTACTTTTTAAATTCCCAGAAATAACGAAGTTATATTGATTTTTAATGGACATTTAATTATAATTATAAATGCAACTTTTCTCTAATTTAACAGACCTTGTAGCTCTTCGAATAAAAAAGATACCCCTACATAGAAGGATAAAGCATTTATTTACTGTTATAATCGATTTCCGAAATATGAAATACATATTTTGTTCACAAATCAATAATTGATTAAGTAAAAAGATCAGACTACCTACAAAGTGATACTTATTGTTAGTGTTATTATTATTCAATAGATTAAAAAAACAGGTTATACGTATATTTAAATTTTAATTATCATTTATCAAATCTCAGGTACCTACTATACGTAATAAAATGATTTTTGTTTTTTATAGGTTTTCCGGCGCATTCGCCATTCTTTTAATATTTCTTTGGAACTAAGTAAATAACAAAATAAACAATTCTAGCGAATTTAAATTGTAACGCATTGTAATTAGAACAACAATGTGAAATAAAATAAAAGTAAAATTTGCATGCAATTAATTTTCTAATTTTCAAAATTCATGTATTTTAAATAATCAGTTAAACATATACATATAACTTATCTTAACGTAAGTAGCACGAAGTTCAAAGTATAATAGATTATTTTTAAATTTAACCAACCAAAACATAACCTTTAAAACTACCAAATGTAAACAAATAAAAATCAACTCACCCATTCCATGCCATAATACGATGGGTGTGTATCCGTAAGACGCGACGCAAAAAAGACCCAGAATCAGCGTGGTACACCTTAAAATTGGTACACCCATGTTGTCACTTGTTTATAAATGAATTCTGAACTGTGAATGAATTAAATTAAATTAATTGATAGTGAAGTCTTTGGGTTACTTAACGGCGCAGACTCGAAGAATTGCAAGAGATTTGTGCACAGTGATACAATATGGTCTACAGTGAACGCCAAGCAATATAACCTTCTTTATCTCTGCAATATTTATAATAATGTTTTATCAATAGATAATACTTGATTTTTAAGGAGGCCTGTTTTTTTCTTTACAAAAAAATAATACTTAAGAATATCTTAAAATTTTTAATCATAAATTATAATTGAAGGGGTAAAGGTTAGAGATGTAAAAAACGATTTTTTAGATAAAAAAAACATGAAAATAAAGGGTAGAAAAGAATGTTTTAAATGATAATTCAGTCCAATTTTGAGCTTTGAACAATAATTTTAAGAACATCGATAAAGTTTTACCATTAAAAATCATACTGGTAAATCTTGCTTTTTTTCATTTGATTGAATATAACTTAACCTCACATTAAAGTATATTATTGGTTTAAAGGTTTTTTGTCGTTAACTTAAAACGTTAAAGCGTTAAAACGTTTGCATTCGTCATGAATTTAGAGAAAAAGATAAATACATTTTATATATAGGAATTATTTTCTTCTGCAAAAAATTCTAAAATTAATATTTTCAGAGATATGTCAGGGATCTAATATAAAACAAGTTAAAAAATACGCTACTAAAGCTTCACTAGTGCCTAATAAAATCGTAACTAAAATGGCGTTTATAAAACTTGATACATAATATACCTATTATAAAATTATAAAAGTCGGCAACATGTTTGGCATACTATATTTCTCGTTTTTGAAGTGTTAAATCCGAATTTTAATCCAAAAGTAGATTATTTTTAATAAAAATTAATCATTAATTTTTAGTAATAATAAATTACCATTAATATTAGTAGAGGAAGTGGGGGTAATTCGGAATACTGTTGGTAATTTGGAATACTTAAATATTGAAGCTATGCTTAGCGCCATCTCGTTAAATATGAAATAAACTTCTAGAATAGCCTGTATTTTGTGGACATGTGATTTTGTAGATATTTTGATTTATGGTAGAGGGCCAACACATTTGAAAAATTAATTGTGGGGTAACTAAAACTTTTTTAGTGGTAATTAAATCGGAAATCATAGCTTCGATTTTTATCTTTAAATTAACTTAAATTGTATCCTCAGGTAAGTAAAGGGTTATATTTTTAGTTGTTAATTGTACTTTTTCGATATGTTAAAGCATTTACTTTTTTTTTAAATATTATGGCGTAGGTCTTTATATTGCTAATTTGGAATACTATAAATAATGCAAATTTGAAATATTCCAAATTATATTCATTTTTTGTAATATTTGATAATCAATCCAATTTTCTCTTTTAATTTATATTTGGTTACCTTTTAAAAATGTTTTATTAACCTTTTTAATAAAAAACATTTGCTGCTACTTTGAAATATTCCAAATTGGTGGTATTCCAAATTAACTTCACGTTACGTAAACAGAGATTTTTTACACTTTTTTTTTCTTTAGTGGAAAAATCCTTTTAAAGTATTTTAAATACTTTAAAATTTTCGTATGGCATAGTACAAATGTAGATCTTGGACATGTTATTTATTTTAATCGAAATAATTTAAATTTAAATTTTTTGCTATTTTTTTTTAAACTACTATTCCAAAATACCCTCACTTCCTCTAGGTATTACCTACTAGGTAATTGATAATATTTATAATAATAATAATAATAATAATAATAATAATAATAATAAGTTTTGATGACTATTTTTTGTGTGAAATTACTAAATTAAAAAAGTTTTATTATTATGTAATAATTATTAAATTAGAATAAAGACCATTTGGGATAAAATTAAAATTTTCGAATAAAAGTAAAAAAATTCCAACTACTTAAACCACAAAAATTACATAAATATTTACTTATTAACATTTTAAGGTATTTCGCAAGGTTCTTTAATCTAGTTCAAATTGTGTAATTGAAATAATTAACCAGTGGTAAAAGGTTTTACCGCTACAATAGACAAATTTATTTAGATTAGCATTGGTTTAATTGTTTCTTTTTTTATTTGTTTAGTTTGGTTGACAATTTTATGTACGCAAATATTTATCTAAAACTTTTAATTACCTAAACGCTTAAAATAACTTATTTTATAGTTTGAGTCAGTAATCTAAATATCTATAGATGCATGTATAGTATGCTTCTCACTTATAGAATAAAATTTGTTATTCGATGAGAAAACGCTCGGACACGCAAACTTTAGTTTTTTATTTCAAATCTTGACCCCCCATGTTTCCCCAACACATTATGCACATTTGTCCTAAATAACAACCTTACTTGTTTTCATCAAAAATTGATAGTGCACTTTTTCTGAGTGCGACGATACCCCATAAGTGGGGTTTAGTAAACGTAGTTTTCAATACAGAATGTAATGACAGAATAAAAAACTATACTTTTTATTTTAAAATTAATTAAAAATTAAAAAAAAAACTTGTTCAATTTTATAGATGTTCAAAATGTTCACTTACTGTAAAACCTACGGTGTTATGTTCCTAAATTCTGCAGTTATTTTGTTTATTAATTAATCTAAATCAGCAGGTTGTGTTTTAAACACAATGTTTTTTAGATGTCCCCAAGGAAAAAGTCTAGAGGTGTTCGATCTGCTGATCTGGTGATTTGTGTCATTTAAATAATTCGGTACAGAAAGAGCATAGTGCACCCCACTTAGAGCTGAGAAAGTTACTTCTGAAAAGTATCTAGTTACTTTTCTAAAATATTTTAAACAAAATAACTTAGTGCACCCCACTTAGAGCTGAGAAAGTTACTTCTGAAAAGTATCTAGTGACTTTTCTAAGATATTTTAAACAAAATAACTTAGTTACCTCTGGTAACTAGATACTTTGAGGTAAAAGTATCTTTAGTTACAAGATACCTTAAAAAGTATCTAAGATGCTTTTGAGTAACTAAGTTACTTTTAAACTATAAAATTACAAAAATTCAACAAGTTGTAGGTTAGGAATCATTCTGGAATTCCCCCACTTTTTTTTAAGAAAGTATCTAAGTTACACTGAAAAGTAGGTATCTAAGTTATTTTAAAAACTATTTTAGTAAAGTAAAAAGTATTTTACCTACGCCAGTGAGATAAGAACTTCTTATCCCACTCATTTTGATTGAGATAAGAAGTTCATTAACGCACGCGTTTTTCTCTGTTTTTAACCAATCAAATAAAAAAGTCAAAATGTCAAAATAACCCTAAATTAAGTCTTAGACAAAAATAATTACCGTTTATTTTTTCATTTAGAGGCGTAGATAAAAATTTGTACAATATATATATATATATATATATATATATATATATATATATATATATATATATATATATATACGTATACGTGTGATAACGCTTTATTAACCCACTTATATCTTAAATAACTATAAGTTACTTGAATGTATTTTAGTTACTTTACCGATTAACTTAGATAGGTACTTTTTAAGTTACAAGATACTTTTCCAAAGTTACTAAGTTAAAGATACTTTCTGTGCAATATAAAAAGTATCTAACTAAGATAAAGTATCTTAGATACTTTAAATATTGTAAGGTACACTATGTATTTTCGTAACCCGATTCTTTAAGTATACTGAAATACTTGTTTTGGCATATTCGTGATCGTCTAGTTAATTTACTTACTTTATAAAAATTAGGACTCTACGTTGTGTATTTACTTACATTGATAATAACGATATTTTGAAATTGGTCAGGTTTAATGAAACACAAGTATTTAATTTTAAACCCCTGATTTAATTTAAGCAAAGACAAAGGGGTGGCCCGTTGAGTCAAAGCACAGGGAAAAGGGACCATAAAAACCCTGGCGACTTACACAGTTCAAATAAAAATAAAATACAAAACAAAACATAGTCAAATGGGTCATAATCACAAGAATACAGTATAAATAATAAGTGAATAAAATAACATGAAAAGCAGATAAACATATTTCATATAATTTGGGTGTTTTTATCAATATTCAAAACATTTCGTGCTCAGGTAAAATAGTTATAATAGAGATCGTCATTTTATGACGAAGTGTTGTACCATTTGTTTACCTTACCACGCATCTTCGAACTATTGAACGAGGATACGATTTTATATAAATAAACTACAGTAACGACACATTTTAGATAGAGAGAATTTAAATGCTTTAAAGGGGAGAGGAAACATGGAAAAAAATTAATCTAGTGCAGATATTTAACCGTAGCCAATAACCACACTATGGGAAAATTGCATACTCTGTGAAGTGATATAATGAAACCTAATGTCCCTATCTCACTATAGTATCCCTATATCACAATATGTTCAAATATCCTCACAAAATCAATGTCCAGCACAAGACAACAGTATTATGAAAATATACAAACAATTCTGCACACAGAGTTTATAAGTAGGTAATAACATAACGACACCAAATGTTCCTATCTCACTATAGTGTCCCTATATTACCTATGCTCAAATATTCATGTATGAACACCCTCCAAACAAAATATAAAACAAATACAAAACAAATAAATATGCAATAAAATAAAATGATGTAAAATACTATACAATAAATAAATGGTGGTAAATATCAGAGTGCCATAGCAAAAACATACAAGCATAGCTTAAAACTCCAACTAAAAGAAAGTGCCGTACCGAACAAAATAATATTTAAACCCAATACAGTACCGAAAAGGTCATTATCAAATATTCAAATTAAAGCGCTTAGATAAGCAGTTTAAATCCAAGTCTATAACCAGAATCTATCAAACAATCTAAACGGCACCAATACCTTACCAAAATATTACCTAATGGTAATATCAAATTTAATAATAATAATAATAATAACAATAAACCTTACCCAAATAATACCAATATTATAATAGTAATATAATTGTTAGAAACTTTAGCCTGAGTACAAATGCAAAGAGTTAAAATAAATAAATACCTTAATACCGAGATGATACACTGGGTTTCATAAACAATAAAATACATTTCAGTTAAATAGAAAGTTATACAAAGTTATACAACAGGAAACAACAAAGTCAAGGCCAGTGTAACTCAAAATAAAGACAATACAAAA